GGTTTAGGGCTTTTTAGGGTTTAGGTACGTCTTCGGGTTTACGGTTTAGGTCTGAAACCTGAAATTCCGCCCCCCCAAAGAGTACGAGAGGGATGAACTTTACGGCTTCATTTTGTAAAATGGTTCCGCATATGTTGTCGGGATGCTGATATGTGTGAATGTAGAAGACACAGACAGGGCGCAGGGATTTGAGCTTCTTGAGATGGTCCGTGCCCTGGGGCGCTGGCAAACCAAAACCTCAGGGGTTGGGGCAGCTTGAATCCCCTTACGAGCCTTATGATGGGGGTTTAAACATTCAAGTGCTGCTGCCACATGCCTGAAAAGTTTTGCTGTGTGGGCATGGATTGGTACTGCCTGCAGTTACCCTCTGTGATAGGAAAGAAAATTGCCGGTGTTCGTTTCTATAGTAGTGCTGGGAGTTGTTTATCTAAAATCTTGCATGAGCCTAGGGTACCAAGTATCATCTTTCCAAGGTTTACTGTACTGTACTGCGGGTCATGCAGGATTCTTAGTATCAACCTGAGTGCCCAGTACGTCGTACAGCTGCTATGATGCGGGTTCTGATTCTTTTGGTCGACGCAGCGTGTGAAGGCTTGGAGTCCGCAGAGCCCAAGGCGGGTTGTCGACGACAAAGCTAACATGACACAACATGGCAGCAGCAATAGGGTGCAGCAGTCAACGCAGAGTCCTAGCCAAGAAGGTACTGATTAGATAGTCGTAATGACACAAATTGTGGTCTTGGACTTTTCAAGTCAGGAAGCCTAGATGTATGAGCAAATTGACTTTGAGACCGCAGCCGTAATGGCAATGGCGCAAAGCACTCTTCAATCCAGTCCACATGTTATGTAGTATCATTAGAGTGATAGCTCCTCATTATTGTAATCGCTTGGCTCATGGCCATCATAGCAACTTGCCACATTTCAGTAGCATCATATTTCAGCGCTGTTGCGCAGGCGAGATTTGCAGCGAGCACAGGCCCTCGCTCCCTACATTTGAGTTTCGGAGCTGTTCTGGGCAGCCCCGAGGGCGGATTTAAAGTTGTGCCACGTGCGGGCCGGTTGACCTGTGATAGGTTTTGCCTGAGCAATTTCAATTTTGAACTCCTTTATCTAATGACCGGAAGTATGGAAAGATAGGGTGAGTTGAACATGTTCTTAAGCAGCAGCGGCACCTCTTACAGGGAATATCAAATTATGATGACAGATAAGTCTTGTATAGATACCTCTTTATGTTGTGCAGAAACATTGACATCTATCATAAACATGTCTACACATGGATTTTTCGCGTGAGGCCCTTAATCGTAGCTTATTCCACTTGCGGCCGCTAGCCAAAGCCCACACAGCCCACGCCCAGAGGCTCCAAGGTAAAACTCACTAAGTTATCCCCATGGGGGCATTCAGACTGTCAGACTGAGCAATAAGATTTTCCATGGATTCCAATGTCTCAAAACGATACTTTTGATCAGCATACTGGTTGCCTTCTGTTTTTGGAGGGAGCCTTAGAGCCGAGCCCGGCGGACGAAGTGCTTGGCTCAGGGGATCAGGACCATTCATCTCCTGATGCTGGTATGTGGGGATTTTGAGGGACTCTGCGAACTTTGAGGCGTATCTTGGGTGAAGCAAACCTGGCAGAGCATGAGGCAGATTCCTTAAGCAACAGTGTAACCTAATGTGTGTGCAGGAGCCCAACCCAGCGGCATGAGACTTTTGATGCAGCTTCGAAACGCCAATGAAAGTGGAGTTGCGTATCTGAACCCTCGAATCTCCAGTCATCTCTCCAGCCACCGTTTTCAGGCTGGACGGCTTGGCCGCAACTCTGGGCCCGCGGCGCGGCTCGGCCTGAGGTATTTACCACATGCAGGGTACCCTTGCAATGTTGAGGCCGTGAAGCGCAAGTTTTACAGACTTCAGATACGTCCGAGTCAGATAGACTAACCTCGTTAGACACCCTTTTCTTCGTCAGCCCACCTTGCAAGCCGTAACTAGCGGGACACGTACATTTGTACTTCATTTGTCGTGGGGCTGTAATGACAGCAGCTTGATGAGAGTTGATGAGCACAGAAAGAACCCCCCTCCCGCACGAAGAACCATGATTACGAACAACACCTGCAGGGTCTTCAGACGTGTAGTAATGCACGAAAGGTGATGAGTGTTGTAACAGCAGTGATGCCAAGGCCCCGGCACCCACGAGCACCGTGGCAAGCACGGAGGCCACTCCGAGCCCCACGGAGCGCCAAAGGCCTTCGGGACGTTTGCGTTGCAACAGAGGGGCCCATCAATGTTCTGGACCAACTCAAAGGCAGTCGAGGGGGTTATGTTGTGTTATGTTATGTTAT